TGCTCTGCACAGGGACCCTCACACATTTTCTGCTGAATCTCCTCTCCTTTTGCCAGCTATTCTTGGTCCTTGGTCCCGCAGCACCCACTCTGCCAAACAAAGGTAGCCAGTTTCAATCAATGCACAGCACTGGCAGCCAGTGTGGTGTACTGGTTAAAGAATATGAGAATGGGGCTCAGAAGATCTGGTCCATGGGTTCTGGCCATGGAGCTCACTGGATAACGGGCCAGTCACAAACTCTCAGCTCAAGCTACCTTGCAGGGTCGTTGTTGTGAGGATGAGAAGGGGAATTATATAAACTGCCTTGAATTCCTTCGAAGGAAGAATAGGTGGGATATAAAGATAATAAATAAAGTAGCATAAAAGTATGCATAAATAAAGTATGCATTTGTTTTGTAGAAAATGTGAATTATGTAATATGTATTTTGGCCCCAAGACTTGAACAGAAGGAAATTAGGTGATTGTTTTTAAAAAGTATGAAGATGGTTCTGCTATTTGCAATGAAGAAAACTGCCTTTAATCTTTTAAAAATAATACTATCAAATTTGACATTTCCCAGTATCGCACAGCTTTTCTGTATGTCCCAAGAAAAATTTTAACATGGCCCACCTTTCTTTTTCTCACCAACCAAAACATAGATCAACCTGTACAACTTACACAGCCATATTTAAACTTAAAGGGAAAGGTTGTGTAGACATTGCAATCCTTCACAAGCTCAAAATGTTGCAACGCTCTCCTTTTCTCTTTTCTAACACCTCCTGTAAGAGCACTACACAAAATGCTGCACAAATAAGATTTCTTTTTTCTCCCCAGTATTATAACAGTCTTTCTGTTCAGCTTGAATTGGATGGCACTCATTCTGCCTGCACCGATGGCCTTTGTGGGATGTTCCCAACATTTGAAACACCAGGTGGCAGTGTGAACTCTTTCCTTGCGCATTCCTGCTAATCATGCTGTATAAACAGAAGTGTCTTCTCCAGCATTTTCTTTGCTCTGTCAATATGTAAACTTGGCCTTTCCAACCTCTTTATACCATTCAAGGCCATTTGCACTTTATCGATGTCATCAGTCAACCTCAGTCCCCACTCCAGTCTCCTTAATCTGTCTGCTAATGATCTGGAGACAGAACAGGACTTGTCTGCAGTCCAGATCTCATTGCATTAACAGTTTGCATGCAGCCTGAGTGAACGGTTTGGTGTGTTTCCTCCCAGATGCATGGAAGTAGAAAAGTATAGATATGGAAGTAGAAAAGTACAAAGGTGTACCATAGCAAAAACATTTCCATTTTAAGATCACCATATTTTCATTTTACATATTTCAACTGAATTTATTTTATGCTCGTTTGAATTGCATGGTTTTTTTTTCATTCTACTTCTGCTTTCTTTTTTTCCTCCACTGATTTCAGTGAAGACCCACCTTGGTCTTCTATAGCTTGTAATTTTGGTATTTATAATCCCAACAGCATGATATTTTCAAGCTTTCTACAACAGGCAGTCCCCAAGTTGTGAACATCTGAGTTATTAACAACTCGTACTTAGGAACAAATTGCCCTAAAGCCTGTTAATTCAAAAGAAATTGTAATTGAGAGAGAGAGAGAGAGAGAGAGAGAGAGAGAATGGAGGGGGAGCAAAAGGGGAGAGCAGGAGGCCTCCAAAGCATGCTTTCCTGGCCCATGCATCCAGAGAGGTAAATCTCTCCAGCATTTCCTTGAGGAGCCTCTGGAAAGTTTGGGTGTGGAGGGGCCCTAGAGATATTCACATTTTTTCCACTTCCATGGGGGTCCTGCGCCCCTAACTTCATGACTGCAGAGGGCTCACCCTGTGTGATCCGACTTACATGCAAATTCAACTTAAAGCCAAATTTCCATTTTCGCAGGAACAGAACTCATTTGTAACCCCAGGACTACCTGTATTCCCTCGAAGTACCTTCCTGGCAAATTGGACAAAACAAAGGTGAATAAAAAGGCAAATGTGAAACACGAAAAGGGAATGTACACATTTGTTGTTTACATTATTGTTACATTTAGACTTGTTCCACACTAAAATGACTGCTGAGACAAGCACTGACACACTACTCACAAAACCCTACAAAAAACTAGGGTTATAAGAGGATTGTTTAACTTTCAAATAAGTCTTGGTGAACAGATTCACATGACATGGCAACCCGAGTGGGGCTTGCATATTTAAAATGTCGCCCAGGACTTGCCATGGCTTACTGTGGTTTACAGAAGCCTGGTATGGAATGCAAAGCAGGTTTGAATGTCAGATGGTTCCTGTTGGTTATGTACTGCCCAGAGAGGTCCGCCTGGCGCCGTCGTTATTTGTTTTTCGGCGCCAGGCGAAGACCTTTTTATTCAAGCGGCATTTTAACTGTTAACATTATTGGTTTTATCTGGCCAGGGCGGCTTATTTTATACTGTACTGCTGTATTTTAATTTTATATTTATATTTTAATTTATATTATAATTATTTTAATTTAAATATGTGAGCCGCCCCGAGGCTTCGGTGAATGGGGCGGCATAAAAATGTTTTAATAAATAATAAATAAATAAATAAATGTACCAGTCTAGCGACAGAGTTCACATGGACTGGAGCAAACGTGCTCATTCGTAGCTGTATGCAAATAAACATACTTTTCAGGGTTCTTGTGAGGATGATGTGGAGAGGAAGGGGGAAAGGATTGTGTAAGGTACCTTGGATGCCTTCTAGGGGAAAAGGCAGGGTATAAATAAGATGAGGGAAAACATAGTCCTTTTTTTATTAAAAGGCAGGATAAAATTATGATGGCTATTTATTTACAATGCTTATATCCCATCTTTCTCCCATTGGGGAACTCAAGGTGCTGACATGAGGTCCTCTCAGGTAGTCTCCCCTCCTAGACCTGCTTAGCTCCGACATGGTGGATGCCTTACGTACCTCCAGACCATACTCTGGGCCAGTGACTAGAAGAGATGGGGTGGGGAGTGAAATTATGCAAACACTGTCTGTTGGGTCCTTACTCTAATTTTTTCCTACCAGACTTCATCAGTTGCCAGCCTCTTGGTGGAAGATGATTATTGTTGTAAACTACTGTGCACACAAAAGCTATGTAAGTATTAAATAAAAATGAAAAGAGATGAATCAAAGTAGACATTGCTTTAAATAATATAAAGCATACCAAAACATTCCTTTCTTCATTTACTGATTTGGACAGAACTATTTATGGGCAGACAGCATTACTTACACATATGTATATCCTATTTTCAAGCTATATTTTCAAGCTAAAAAAGAAAAACAAAAGCACAATTTCCTGCATAATATTTTCAACTAAATTTAGAACTTGCCTGAATATGAAAAGAATGAGTAGTCCAAATAATTTATCTTCATTCTGCTTCTGAGTAAGATTGCATTCTCTACCACTTCCATAAGCATACATCATAGCTTCTGTATAGCCTGAAGTGCCTGACCCTGCTTGATCTTGGAAGCTAAGCAGGGTTGGGCCTGGCTGAAATCTGTATGGGTGACTTAAATGCTGTGAACCGCCCAAAGAGTGTTGGTTCTGGGTAGGTGGTATAGAAATGCGATATCCGCATCCTCATCCTCATCGCAGAATGTTAGATTCTCTTTGCATTAATAGTAAAATATTAAAGTAAAAAGCATGTGCACCACAATGCCCTTTAAGGGAGCTGTCCATGGTGCTGAACGTGGTTGGGCCATGGGGTTCAGCACCATGGAGAGCTCCTTCAAAGTTGGGATGGGAAGCCAATGCAAAGCTCCCACAGTGCCTGTGCTCACGGCATCCTTCTTGGGCAAGGAAGTCTCAGGCAGAACCACTGAGTCAGACAGAACCCCGACCACTCTAGGCGCATATAGAGGGCACGAGATGCAGCAGAGGGCCACCTCTTGGCTGTGGGAGACTGGCTGCCCACTCCTGCTCCAAGCTGTATAGGAATCTAGACTTCATTTTTGAACTGGAACTGAAGCTGCCATATTTGGATGAGCTCCTGAATCCATCTCAGCCTACTCACATGTGTAAGAATAGCAACAGAGCCCCTTCTCACTTGCCCAGCTTTCGTTATTCATTAAAGTACTTATATACCCATTCATATATTAATCCATATCAGTCTAGCCACAAGCGCAACCGTGACCCTTCTCTCTTGCCTACTTTTACATACTTACTTATTAAAATAGTTGTATGCCACTTAATATATTAAATTGTACATTCCTAAGTGGTTCATGTGGAAGTGCAACATACTATGGCAGCCCAGTTAAAGTAAGAAATAATTAAAACTTTAGAACTCTTACAGTACTGCAGCAATGACAATATTGTGCTAATCTTGGGAAAGGGAGAGTTGTGTAAGGAGGTGTGTTTTCAACTTGCCACTGTCTTTGCCTCTCAAATCACACAGAATAACCTCCAAAGGGTGGCGCTGCCACTGGGAAAACCCATTTAAGCACAGCTACCTGGCAAGATGCCACTGGCCAGAAGGGCCAGTAAGCCAGTGCAGTGCAGTGGATGGAATGTTGGACTGGGAACCTGGCAGATTCAAACTTCTAGTCCTCAGTGAACCATGACTCTCACTGGATGACTTTGGGCTGGGCACAGCTCTCAACCTACTTCACAGGGTTCTTGCTGTGAGCATAAGTATGCCAGCTACTTTGGGTTCCTTGGAAGAGGAAACATAGGATTATAAATGCAATATAATAATAATAATCCTTATATTAAACCCAAACTTGTTTATGTGAGTGAAGACAGTCAGTTGCACATATTAGTCCCGAATTGTTCAGCAATGACTTAGTTCCATGTTGTCAACACCAAAACCTTAAAAATGGGTCAGTAGCTAAGAGGCAACCAGTGTTATACTTTTAAGCCAGGTATAATACTCAATTATCCAAAAACAAACAAACAAAAAAAGTTGGCTGAAAAGACCAGGGTTAAGGTTTTCACATGTTGCTCCAAATTTCCAAAAGCCAGGAAATTAGAAGTGACAGTAGGAACAGCTAATTTCACTTAGTTCTCACCTGTTTATTCATAAGGATATAGATGATTGGATTGCAAACAGTGCTGCTCTTTGCCAGGATGGACGGGATGACACTTGCTACTGGAGACACTAAGCCTGGCCTACCAAATGTTGCCAGGAGTGCTATAACTCCATAGGGCATCCAGCAAATCAGATAACAGATGACGGTTGTGATCACCATGAAGAGTACATGGAATTCTCTTTTACGGGCAGAGGTCTTCCGGATTTTCCCAACCTGGTAGAAAGAAATCAAAATGATTTTTTAATCATTTACATTCAATAGTAGTTTAAAATCAAGCATTGCTTCCATGGGCCATTTATTGAAGAAAGTTGTCAACCAATATACAGACAAAAGATTAATCATTATAGTCATATGCTTTAAACAGAATTGCTAAGTGTCTAGACAATTGATCACTATGATTAATCAGTTAAGGAAAAATATGAAGTCTTTCGTATTTGTGCAAGTGGCACATGGTGTCAATAGGATGCAGGCCTCTTGTGCAAGACTGCAGCTTAAATTTCTGAAATTTGTCCCTGATGCTTTGCTATGAACTCCCCCAAAAAAGAAAGTCTAAAACTTGCATGTCCTCAAAAACCTGCCACCACTATTTCGGCCAAGCTGATACATCAGTTTCCTTCTCCCACCACGAGAACTGATGAAAAAAAAGTGTGATCTCTATTTCAGCATCCCTCTACAAGTGATTAACAAAAATACAGACAGGTCTTAAATTTTAAATTGTCCAAAGAGATGGGTAGAATATGGGTAGAAAAGATGGCCATATACAGTGTCAACAGATTCATCTAGTATGCCATGAATATCAAGGTAATTGTACTGTAAGTGCCCAGGTCCATCAAAATGACACACATTCCAGGAAACACAATCTGGGATATTGGAATCCTTCAGTAGATTACAGGATAGGGAAAGGTTAGGAGTCCGGATTCCAGAATGACTGGATGGCTCAAGGGCTGAAATTTCTGGGAGAGCTCATTTTTATCTGATCAATGCAGGTGTCAGGCCCCTGAAATGCTCTTGGGCAGAAGCTGAATCTGAGTGAGTAAAGTATGTGATTGAGTATTTGTGAACATGCAAGTTACATGTGAGTTGCAAATGTTCATGAATGCAGTCTGCGTGTACACATGTGCAGTCTCCACCGTCCCGGGAAATGCTGCTTGTGGCTCACAGGTTATGCTTCCCTCCTCTAGACTTTGGCTAGCCTCAGATATTGGGTGGTATAAAAATCAATGTATACCCAAATAAATTCATATTACAGTATGTAATACTGTATATAATACATAAACTATTTGCAACACATAATTTCTCACAGAGCTTTGAGAAGAGGGAAAGACATCTATATTCAATATTCCAAGGACCAAACATGTAATTCCTTGTATATGAACAATCAGTGAATTCCAATTACAAGTAAGCCCCTGAGCAACTTTTATAACCCTTATGGGAAGAACTCAGTGTTCCAGCACAAAAATAAATGGTCTAGCCTTTAAGCTCAAGGCAGCAAAAATAATAAAAATCTATTCACTTTTAAAGATGCCACAGGACTCATTCTTGAATAACATTTAATTGGTCTATCATTTTTGAAATAAGATTGCACATCTTCCCCATATTTTGGGTTTTGTACCACATAATCAGTGCACCATTTATAAGCTTTTAAAATATATTTTGTATGAAAAAGGACAGTCTTAAAAATTTGAAAAATGAAGAAAGCCAATGAATGAATCTCAGATTAAAAGAAATAACATTTTTCCATGTGTCTTTAAGGTAAATAAACTTGAGTTTTCATGACATAACCATCAGACAGATGAACGATGTTGGTCAATGCATATGTATTACTGTTTCAGTTACATATTTCAGCCTGACTTTACAGTGGCTGGTAAAAATACGTATTGATTATCAATATGCTTGTTGCATTTAGGAATGAGTGAGGAATCCTATGCGGGGGGGTGGGGGTGGGGTGGTAAATACCCAAAAGATTTTCACAATTCATCCCCCTACCTCCAACAGTCTGGCTTGGGCAGGCTCCAGCCTTGCATTATGTGCTATTGTATTTCAATGTATTTTATTGTGTTGTAAGCCACCCCGAGGCTTCGGCAAGGGGCGGCATAGAAATGTTATAATAATAATAATAATAATAATAATAATAATAATAATAATTATTATTATTATTATTATTATTATTATTATTTTGCAGTCACTGTGGTGCAAATCAAACCAACTCAGTTACTCTGCAATGGACCACAACTGGAACATATTTAACCCATAATGAAATCCGTGCAAATAAGTACCTACAAACCATGTGACTATCAGCTAATATGGGCAAACCACAAATGGCACAAATGACCATTTGACCGAATGAGAGCATCATCACATGAAATGACAACGTTTCCTTGGCAATTAACTGCTTGTCTGAAATCGTTTTTGCTCAGTTCCTGGATAGTTACAGCTACCAAGATGTAAAGAGAAACCCTATGGATTCTATAAGCAACTGTATTTGCAATGTAAAAAGGAGAAACGAAGCTAAGCTGGTACAAGTGCAGCAAAAAATTCTCCCTTGCGAAAAATTAATCCGAACATTCTGTGACCTTGAAGCCACTCTCTGCCTATTCGGTCCCTCATAACTGAAGTGCAGGCATAAATAACTGGGTCTGAGTGGAGTCAGGGGAAGAGGGGGTAGTTTCTGGAGCCACAAAGGCAAGCTGACCACGTGTGACTGGGGGGCAGAGGCTGGCCATGAGGGAAAGTGTCGCAGAAAACGTATGTGCACGCCTGGCAGGCCTCTCTAGAGAAGGAGTCCCCAGGAACTGTTGGGAACTTCTTAACCCATTAAACTCAGGACTCCAACACAGCGGCATCTGCCAGCCAAGAGGCAGCAAATTTAAGTCTCGCAAGAGGTGGGGGTGGGCAGAGAGACACTGGCCTTGGCTTCAGAGATCCAACGTACCACCCCCCAGGGCCCCTCTCCACTACACCTTTGATGTTATCTATGATGGCTGCATATTCTAAAACAAAGTTTCCCATGTAACCTTGAACATCTATCAAACATGATCATCAAAGCTGATTATCTGTATCATTTCCACGCCTCTATTTTCTGCCCACTCTGTGGCCATTGAGTATGTTTATTCCCCACTGGGCTCTTTGGGGGGTGTTTTCTTTTGCCCTGCCATCCAAGATAGATTTCTGAATGATGTTTCCTACTTCTGCAAACATTGGGGTTCTTTTTGCTTTGACTCTAAGCACCTGAGAATACCAGAATACACATAGCAACATAGGCAGCTGCCTTGGACAAGATAGACCTTGGGTCCATCCAGCCAGCCAGTCATCCATGATAAACATCAGGATCCAAAGACAGAAGAAATGTCCTGTCCTCAGTTCAACTGCTAAGCCACCTCCTGTAGGTGGACAAGTTCCAAGGTATACAACCAACTCTTAGAACAAGAACTTGCAAGAGTTCATTGCTAAGACACAATTCCCATTACAGCCATCCAGAAAATTTGCCCGAAGCAAAATAAAAACCCATGTACCCAACAAATAAACTAGATGCCTACCTCCTCAGGGAAGCACAAACTCCTCGAATGTCGCAGAGTTGAGGGTTCTGTCACAACACATTCATCCAGCCACCCCAAACTACTCTGAAGTTCTTTGTCAGTCTCCCAACTTCTAGCAAGGGGTGGTTGCGAAGTGAGCTCATGCCAGGCACTTCACATTTAGACCAATGCACTTCTGTCATCTTTCCTTTAATATCTAGATTCAACTTTTCCCTCTAAGGGAACCAAAGGCTTCCCAGAGGCACCTCAGCATATGACTCCAGCAAGGCATCCCGAGATTCTTTTTGACAGATGAAAAAACTACAAGTCTCCAAAGAACACAAGATGAGTAACGCAGGGAGAGCAGAAGCTGTTTCTAAGTCATGAGCATCCAGCTCAAGAAAGCTTGTAAAATCTGCAGTGGCAGATAGTATTATAATAGCTTTAGAAAATATGAATGAAATATTCCAGGCAAAAGCATGGTCAACATGAGATATCAATCAACAGCTTTTGCTTATTGTGGATATTGCAACTTTGAAATTATGCAAAAAGAATATTTCCATTTCATCGAAACACATGATTTTAATCTAACCATGTGTTTAGATTAAAAGACAAATACATAGGACATCAGGATGGTCAAAATTGCCAGGGTGAGGAGGTAGCTAATATCTTTGCTAACACTGATGAAGAATTGCCACTGTTTGTCCCTTAGGGTATTCTGATGTGGCAGAGCTATTAGGAAAGCCATGCTAATTTGCATCCTTCAGTAATTCCAGTGGGGGGTATCTTTGGCCAACTCATGCACGCTTCTATATCACTTTGCCACCATCTGAATACTCCAGGGTTGAGAACCTCATGCTTGAACAGGTCACTGAGAAGTTGTATATTGGATATGATGTGAGGCCTCAATGTTTAATGCTTGATCTATGACACCTATTCAACACTCTGAAGTTAGCAAATGGTGAACATGCATCATTGAACAGGCAGGAATAGAATCCTGAAGATCTGCTCAATCCTTGCTGAAGGAACAGAGCTTGATCAACAGCAGTGCTTAATTGGATTGCATCATAATCCATTTTATTTTCTGTGAGACAATTGTAGATACTGTACAGTAAAGGTTGCCACAAGATTCTTTCAAGTCGTTTTGTGCTGCGATGGATCACTATAGCTTCCCATCTGGAAGTCTACTTTTTTAATGTTTTAACTTGTGGAGGGTATTCAACCTGCTAAATACATCTGAACACACACACACAACTCCTTAGAGACTTCTGCTACCAACTATGTATCAGTGATGAACAGATGGTGTATAAATAACCCAAATTGCTCCTATATGGTCATATAAGGAGGGCCATTGTATGTACTCCAAACTTTTTTTAAAGAGCCATCATTATGTGCAAGAAAAGCTGAATTCTTTGTCTTATAAAACTTAGAAAATGGTTCTGCTTTGACTAATCACAGAAAAGCAAAAGTACCTATGGAGAAAATCAATACTAAATACAATTTCTACTACAAACTTTGGTAAGCTGTTTCTCTGAAATGTTCAGCAGGCTTTCCCTACTTTTGATTGAAGCTTAGCTTTACATTGGTAAGATCCAGAAAGACAGAGGAATAAAAGGGGGATCACTGTAAAATAGATGAGAAATGAAGGATGGGGCAATTTTCCCTAGCTGTTGTTCTTGAGTGACGCGTTCAAGTCCATAATCTTCCCATCTCAGACTCCAGCTCGAACAGGGTTGCTTTCTGAGCCAAGAGCAACAAAGAGCCTTGATCATTTCTGTGGGGACCTGCAGATCCACACCCTGGAGAACCTGACTGAGCTGTGAGCACTGCAGGAAGAAATGCAGGTGGTGCCTCTAGCGAACACACCACTGGCGCAACCATTCAGAGAAAGATGGAACGAGTGAAGGAAAAGCTGGTGAGTATGCAAGAGGCCCTCCAGTGCCAGCATCAGACATGTGCAATTCCCTAATTTTAACAGAGTTCTTACAGAATGTGAAGCTGGAAGAGATGCTTAGTCAGGGGAACCTGAAGCAGGCAGCATCTAACCAGCCTGTTTCTGAAGAGCCTTTGCATCTCTTCCTTGCATCAAGTGTTCAACCGCTGAGCCGTGAGGGCAGGAGCGAAACACTGAAGGAACTGCAAGAAGCAGTGCAGGTGCTGAATGATGTGGTGAAGAAACATGAGCAGGGCATGAATGCAGAGACTAAGTCAGAGGCCTGGGAGGGTTTTGTTCAAGCCTTGGGAGAAACATAATCTGGCCTAGGTTATCTCCCAGATGCAAACTCTGCAGGACAGGGCGGAAACATCTTCCAGGCAGAAAGAAGCTTTGCCATGGTGAAGAGTAAGCGTGATCTGCTGGAAGTGCAGGGCCTGGTGGTGTGGATGAAGAAGGTGGAGAGCTATATGTCTGTGCTGGAAGGGGATATGGAAGAGCTGGAGAGAGTAGCTACTTGGCTGAAGAAATACTATCTGGTTCAAATATCTGATGTACCCAGGGGGATTCTTGAAAGACTCGAGGCTTGGAAGGATCTGGAAAGGCTGGTGTTGGAAAATGAAGTCCACTGGCAGCAGGACATTCGTTTGAAGCAATTTTTTGAGATTATTTGGCCAGAGCATACCTGGGCACAGATGTTCTCAGAGAGTTTCAGTTCCCATGATCTGCCAGACTCATGAGTTGGAAGAGTTGGAAAATAATATAAAGACTACATCTAAGGAGTCTGTGGACCTGGCAGCAGCAGGATGGGAGCTGGTGGCTGAAGGGCACTAATTGAGTGAGTCGGTAAAGTAACGAATCGAGGAGCTACAGAGCATGCTGGCATGGATAAGGGCATTACGGTGAGTGCAGAGTTCCTAGAAGGATACTGGCCATGAGAAAAATGGCAGCGAGTTCCATAACAGCATCACAAACATGCTCAAGAACTGCCATACAAAAGTAACTCCTGAAACTGGCATACCCAAGAAAGATGGTATCCTGAGCTTCAATTTGTCTGAAAGGTGTCCCATCACTCTAGTCTCCTTCCAGAATGATCCAGCCACAAAGCAAGAGAGTGGTTTGGTCTCCACTGCAATCCAGTCTACCCTAGATGTTGTTTGAAAGCAGAAATAGGACTTGGAAGAATTGGAAAACCACATGGCCTTTGAGATGGGCATCCCCAAGAAGACTCTAGTCCTAGAACCCTCAGAGACTCCAGTGCTGTTGGTGCCACAGCCAGGCCCAAGCAGTCCAGGTGGTACCCTGAACTTGATCTTGAGTCTTGGGAAGAAAGAGCAGGGAGAGGTTCTATAGAGCTAAGTGGTAGCCTCCCCAGCAGAGGGACCAGCAGGCGGTGCACAAAGTGAGCATCCATTTGCAAGTGGAGGAGAAAGATGAATATAGAGATGGAGGGATATCCCAGGAGAGCTGTTACTGTGCAACTATAGGCACCTAAGCAGTAGCTACTCAGAGTTCCCTCTTCCAAACATCCCAGTACTAGGCAGGGCCCCACAGCCTTTCATCCCTTGCCCAAGATCAGCTCTGGCTGCTCCTTGGAGAGACTGACTAGAAAAGGCAAAGGGGAGATGCTGTTCCCCCTGTAAGGGAGCTTTGGACCCAAGCCAAATGATCTGCGGCCTGTGTCAGAGGAGAAGCCCTTTCCTGTGCTCCTCAAGGACCCCACTGCCTTAAAGAATGTGCATGATACCGTCAGGGTAATAATGATGGGGCAACAGGAATGGAGGCACTGAAGGCCAATCCAGGCTGGGGACAGCCAGCACACCTGTCCCAAGGATAAGGAAGACACGTGGCTTGAAGAGGCGAGCACCAATCCAAGCCGCAGCAGGCATTATGCTCACTTTGATGGGCAGAGCTCCAAGAGACAGGGTATGTCCAGCAATGGACCAGTTATCCCATATCAGCAGATAGGCTAGAAGTGGGACAGTCGTCTGCAGTATCTGAAACCTATATTGCACATGCCTTTTACCAGTATTCAGAAGACAAACCATTCCTCGTAATCTACTAAATGTAAGGTACTCAATCAATCAATCCTCCAATGACCAGCCAAAAATGCAAGGTACTAAATAGTCATTAAAAGCCTGCTAAAACTGAAACTGAGAACACTGATGCTCTGTTCGTGACAGCAGCTAAAAGAAACAGCCATGCTGGTTTCAGATTTACATATCCTTCTTCTGTGAAAGCATACCTTCTATTTCAGTTAATTTATATGACAATTAATATATAATTATAGTGACATCACTCATCCAGTGCAATGTAAATCTTTCTGCACAGTACAGTAGAAACTCCTACTATACTTTTAAGTGTAATAGTATGAGGAAACTGTAAGTACCGCATGACTTGATGCATTCAAAGTTGGCTGATATCAGTATGGAAAAACATCAACACCCAGAATGTTCACACCCAGCATTTTCAAAAAGTAGGTACTTGGTGGGTCACTCACTGCTTTAAAAGATACCAATTCTGAAAACTTATTAAGGTGCAAAAAGGACCATTTCTCTTTGTGGATTGTATCCATACATCCTATCATACAGTGCTATTTCTTACAGAAGTTAGGAGTATTAAATATACAGCTCGATTTCCTGCAGTTTACTCAGAAGACGTAAACCCAGGGAATGGTCTTCCAGGATCAGAAACTCCCAGGAAACAATTTGAAAACAATTCTGGTATCTGGAGGACAACAGGATACAAATACAATAAACAAATAATGTAGGGGTAGGGAACCTGTTGCACTCCAACTTCCATCAGCCCCAACCAGCATGGCAAAGAGTCAGAAATCATTAAAATGGTGGAAAGACCACTGGTTCTCCACCTCCGAAATAAAAGCAGAGGTCACTGTGTGGGACAGCGTTTGCACCACGATGTATACAGGATCGACGCATTAGAATAAGCTTCCCTAGTCTAATTCCTGCAGGTGTTTTAGACTAAACCACCCAGAATTCCTGGCCACTGGCTATGCCAAATGGGCATGGAATTGCAAAGCAACTAGAAGGTACCAATTAGGAAAGGTTGCCTTAGGATGGACGTGAGGAATGCTGACCTCTTTAAAGGGCTGCCATGGTTCACTTTAATGCATGCATTAACAGGGGGCGGGATCCGAAATGCAGCCCTTCCTGCTGATTGCATAGATAGCTGATCAGCTTGCCATGTGCTTACCTGCTTGACAGCATAAAAAAGGCGTGCATAGCAGTAGGTCATGACCGTCACTGGAATGGCTAAGCAGAATATGAAGAGGCAGATGATGTAGGAAACCGACTTGGGTGATTCGGAGGTCCACTGGACAGAGCAGCTGGTGCCTGAGCCCTCAAGCCCATAGCCGCTCCAGCCAATGAGAGGTGGTACTGTCCAAATCAGAGAGTAGAGCCAGGATCCACCAACCCCTAGCAGAGCCTTCTGGTAGTCAGAGCCATGCTTTTTTGCAAGGGTCAGGGTGCTGTAGCGCTCATAAGACAGGATGGCCAGTGAGATCAGAGACACAATTCCTGCAAAAAAGCAATCACACTGGGAATCAATCTATTTCACATAGCAAAAGGGACAAAAGCAAAATACCATTTTCTGCATAATTAGAATGTCAGAGAAGGTGCTCTTTGTCAATCTTTGCAGGAGTCAAGTTGGGTGGTATTCAGTTCTTCTTTTGAGTGATGAGCTTTAAAGTGTTTAGCCATCTGAGAAGTATACGAAGCCGATCCTAGAAACACACAGGATGCATCTGAATGGAAATGCATTCTCTTTGGGATGAGTAAAGAGAGTTGCACTTTTATTAATTCATGACTACTTGAAAACAATCATCTAGTCTTTCATTATGACCAAAGGCAAAATCCCTTATAAATAAGTAAAAGAAGGAAAAGATTGTACTCCACTGTCATACCAATGTTTGGTAATGATGCAGGGATAAATGCTGAAGCACAGATATTCCTCTTGACACTTCTCCATGGCTACACCCCAAAGAATGCCCCAGGATCTGAGCAGCTTATTGATCCATTTCAGCAAACCAGTTTTAATCTGCAGCAGGAGCAGGTCTTTTGTCAAGCAAAGAGGTTGCACTTTCCCGCTTAAGTACAAGCCACCCCAGAAGGTTTCCTTATAGCAGGGACCAATGTATTATTGTCAGGAAAATTCATTTCCTCCCAGGTACGGTCAGAGGAAACAGGGAATTCTACAGGGAAGAGTGGCAAATGACTGGTGTCCCCGTGAGCTTTGGCTCCATCTTCTCTTGATGCTTAGCCTTGCCCTTACGTATCAAGGTATCTGCAGCTCCATTGCCTAGTAGCTTGCCAGTGAAAAAGCTGTAAGGTGCACAAGCAACCTAGCAGGCACTTCCTGCTGCTCCACTTCCTTCTCATCGCCATTTCTGGTCTGCCTGCCTCCTCTAGGCACAAGAGAAAGGACGGGTGCTGAGCAGGTGAAAGCTGGAAGGTGATGCCAGGGAGCTCTTGGTGGCAAGAGTGATTCTGGCAGGTGTCTGAGCATGCCAGCCCTAGTGTGCCCTGAGTTTTTGGAAAAATAGCACCATAGCTCCGCATCCTTCATAGGCCTGCATCTCCTTCCCTGAGAGCTGAGTGATGCCAAGGTGGAAAACAACCTCCAAGCAGAGAATGCTGACTGAATTTGCATGTAGTAACAAGAAGCTGAAGTTAAAGCCCTCTGCAGGCATTGGATAATGAGCCCATGGAGGGTCATCTGAGAATGAGCCAGCCAGCTCCATCGCTTTGACACAGACACACTTGCCAGTAATGCATGACCCTGGCACAATGCATGGGGTCGCTTCCCCAAGGACAAATAAATCTGCGTTTCAGATTGTGTATGTGTGTGTGTGTTGGGGGTGGGGGTGGGGGCTAAATAGTAGAAGAGGGTTATAGTATACTAGGAATCCAGTTATGAATACACTAAATTTGAATAGGTACTAAAAACTAACATTAGCATTTCTACCCCAATAAGTAAAAAAATAAAGCAAAGCCCGTGGTAGATTATAGGGGAAAGATGTCTTTTAATGGCAGACATGCAAGATGCAACTGACAGTGAGCGGCATTTGCTATGGATTATTGTGTAATTGTGGTGCCCGTGAATCAATAAATGCTCATTGATTGACTCACAAATCATTTAATGGTGCTCCAGTTTCAAAGATATTTCCAACTTACCTCCAGTTGTTCCATCTGATATTTAAGAACATACAACTGTAAACAAAAAAGGCCCAGTCTTCTGTGTTAAAAGAAAAGAAAATCAAAGGAATCAATTTTTCTAAACAGGTCGTGATGGATTAAGAGCCCAGTCCTTTTAAAGAATAAAAATTATGGTAGTGCTTCAAAGGTCAGTTAATTTATGGATTCTTTCTTGAAAAGTAGCAATACTGTGCTATGTTGGCAAAATGCCTTGAAATACTCATGAATGGATGGATGGATGGATGAATTTGTATGCCACTCGCCAGTTCAGATGGTGTTGATCCTGGAACATTCTGTATGAAAGTATGGGTCTACTAAGCATCCAAGGCATCTTTCCCTAGCCTGCCTAAGGCTACCTAGTGAGATCATGGTAGAGTCAAACCAGGGACTTTAGTTTAGTCTTTTTAACACCACTGTTTCGGCAATAATTGACTCATTTTATGGATGTGATTTATTTATATGCATGATTTAAAAACAAAGAAAAGCATTTGGTACCCAGCTTTTCCAAGATTTGCTCAAGGCATCTCATAATGACAAAACAAATCAATATTGACAAAAGTCATTAAAAACCAGCACCCTTATTCGAGGATGATTCTGGTTCCTTTCCTCCCAGCAGCCAGAGTTCTCAAAAAATAAAAATCGAGAGAAAAATGGGGGAATTAGCTTCAGAGGCAACATTTCCTCTGAGGCCAATTCTCCTCCGCCTTCAATGTCATCCTTTAAACTCTGAAAGACATCCTTACAGCTCAAGGATACAGGGCTGGAAGCAGCCCAGAGCATCAGGGCTGACTTCCTTGCATCACGATCCTTTACTTTGGAGACAAAGCAAAGACTGGAACCCAGAGGTCCATCTAGTTCAGTATTGCTCATACCAACCGGCAACATCTCCCCTAGCACTACCTGGAGACGCCAGAAAAGGGACCACCTGCCCAGTCCTGAACAATGGCCCTTCCTTTTTTTTCTGGTGGTGGGGCGGGGGGCGGGGGTCCTTCATGGGATAAGAATTGGAAGATGCCTGCTACTGCATTCAGGTCCTTCCTTGCACTCAGGTCTCTGGCTGAAGGGAAGAAAACAATGGGCAGCTCCATCACTTTAGGTCCTAGCCTGGTCCAGCAGATAACTTGGGCTGCACTGTGCTACTGTTCCTTATAACATGAGGGATCCATCACAGAGCAGGGAGATGTTTGCAGGAAATACCTCAGCAAAATAACTCATCATAACTTCAGACCCACCGAAAGTTTTCTTGGGACCATGGTGTAATGATGTGCGCTTGCATTTTGCCTTGTGTTGCATGGGGGCATTTATCCTGGTGTTACACTGGTAACCACATGGGGCTGTAACAGGAGCCAGGCATGTTGGGTCAGTGATAATGCTATGCTACATTTTCAAAGTGGCAGTGTAAAAATCTTTGAGCAAACTCCACCAGTTACTGTCTTCATCTGTCTTAAATAATGGTATCCTTTTCTTGTCAATAAGAAAAAGTCCCAACCATAAACTGCCATTTAGATTAGAATGACTGGAAGCACATAGGTAAGGAAGAATGCCAAAGGCAGTCACTTTGCAAGTCTGAAAATCTAATCTAGTTGAGGGATAAAAGTTTGTTCCTTGCCTTTTTAATGCCCACTATAGTACACAATTTACACGTTCTCTTAATTTCAGGAAAGTACAAAAATGTACCCCACACACTTTTTCCAAGGAAAAAGGAGTTTTCACAACTTTGCCAGGTAGGTGGCAAAATTCTGGGTTCTTTGAAAAGTGGGTTAGAGTGGCAAATTCAGTTTTGGACTGGGACTTACCCAGACCCTTGAGTGCTGGTGTGCTTCTGAGAATGTAATGTGCAATATGAGGGATGCCTCAGTAGAAACAGTATTACAAAAGGCCTTTTCAAAAATTCAGTATTTTTGACATACTGGCTGTTGTTGATTGCAAAATCTATCATCACAACTATGTTTCAAATATTGTACCTGTCATTTAATTACTTAGAACCACCTTTTCTTTTAGACACTGCTGCTTTGCTTTTGAAAAATGTGGACTTTAAACCATTTTGCTGGTTGTTATTCTGCTATGGTATGTGTTAGTAATACTGTTAATTTTATTGTTAATTCTGCCATTTTATGGTATGTTTATGTTCAGTTAAATTTGAGTGTTGACTGTGTTTTGATATTTTGACCCCAATCATAGTCTGAATGTACCTTCAATAAATTAAATATAAATGTATTATTACTTCACTGTTGAGTCTCGTATGAAGTCTCGTATGAGGCGAGACTGAGGGAACTGGGTCTCTTCAGCCTGGAGAAGAGGAGACTCAGAGGGGATCTGTTGGCGACAGACAGGTATGTGAGGGGATGTCACACGGAGATGGGTAGAGACCTGTTCTCCCCTGCAGAGGAAGGCAGGATGCGCTCCAACGGAGCAAAGCTCAGGGAGCCAAGGTTCCATTTGGATGCCAGGAAGCACTTCCTGACAGTCAGGACCCCGAGGGTGTGGAATGGGCTTCCACAAGAGGTCGTTGAGGCCCCATCGGTGAGGGTGTTCAAACATAGGCTGGACATGCCCATGGTGGGCATGTCGTGAGGGGAGCCGGCTGGAGCCGGGGGTCAGATTAGATGGCCCAGGAGACCCCTTCTGACTGACTCTGTTTCTATATGCCAGGTTCAGCAGCCTGGATTAAGGAAGCCCCATTGAAATCTTGACTTCCAAGTAAAGATACACAGGATTCTGCTTTAAATCTGCCAACTCTCTGCGAAGCCTTAACCAGCTTTCTAATGATCACATGTTCCATGTTATATATGAAATGGCTGCAAATGGTATCAGCTATTTACTTCAGTGTGTAACACACCAGAATTGGTGAAATAACTGTTCCATGTTTCTCAACAAGATAATGTCTTCTGAACTGAATTAAATTCTACATGAATTTCATTAGAAGTCATCACAAATCAAAATCATCAACATAGACTTTGCTTGTATTTATCCATGAGCAAACCCCAAAATATTTTGATTAATTCTTTGAATATTCACAGCACTTAATTAGGCTCAATCAAGCCTATTATGAAGCCCTGGAGGGTTGTAACAGGATTGATTCGGGGTGCTATTCATGATCAGGAGAGGATCAACATATTGATCTGACAGCAAAGGAATATGACTGAATACAGTTTTGCAGATGCCTATGACTTCCACTGCCATTTGATACATCATGCTGGATATGAAACGGTACGTCTTTGCACTTTGCATCTCAATAAGCCAATCCAGAGCCTGTTTTGCTGTGTTACAGTCCCTAAAACCAACTTAATGTTTGGAAGTAACTTAGCTAACTTAGGTTGATTTGTGCCACTAGATTGTGACTGTGTAAGATTGTGACAGAAATAGAGCTGGGCAGGTTGAAGGCAAATCCTTAATCCTTTATTTACCCACAGCTTCTCTCCTACAACCCACCACCTCAGGTGCTTTCCCTTTTGCAGAAAAACAGGGCACTCCAGGAGGGGAAACAGAATTTTCCAGACCCCAGCCTTCTGTGGAATACATAGTTCATCCCCACAGTGATGCTCAGGACAATTATTCCTAATAAAGATATGTGTTCAGAGCATATGCGAGGGAGGAGAGCAAATCAAACTATAAATACCTAACTACCTGGGAGAATATTGTAATGAATAATACTCTATAACGCGTCTTCTCAGATAAGTACTGCCAAAAACAAATCCAATTTGAATGTTTGGATTCTTACCAAAACAAGAATTGACAAAGCCATACCACCTGCAGCCGTGCTCCCCTCCAATCCATCTGCCGTAGATGTTGGATATGAAGCTGAATGTGGTACCAGAGATGCAAACCAGCATGTCACTAGCGCTGATGTTCAGCAGCAGCATGTTCACAGGGTTGCGCAGAGTTTTGAACTTGCAAAAGAGAATGAGGACTATCAGGTTATTCAGGAACCCAAAGACTAATATGAGTCCAAGAAAAACGGCCACAACAGTGTGTCCTGTTCTAGAAAGCCCCATTCTTGGCTCATCTGTAGATGTGCTCAGGTTGAATGTTGAGTTTGCATTCATTCCAGACATCATAGCAAGCAAGATTTTTTTTTAAACGTATTTCCAGATATACCCTCTTCTGAAGATCACTATCTTCCCATCACCAGATCTGGGGGTTGGAGGGTTAGTAAGCCAATCATGGCATTACTGAGCGATTAATACCAGTTTGTGCTGTGTGTGGCAAAAGCATGCTGCATTGCGTTTCCTGTCCCTGCAACCTAGAATCTGTACTGAATCCTAGTAATCTGAAGACCAACTTAATTAAAACACGAATCATTTTGCCAGGTTCTGGACAGACAAAAAGCATTTTTTCCCCAGTACTGAAGAGCAGAACTTGCTACTTTTTTTGCTCCCGTCTGCAAATGTTCTGCTGTGAAGCTTCTTTCTCATGCTTGTTCTTGCATCCTGCATGTAAGGGAAAGGAAAACATAAATATTACAGTTATAGCTTTATCTGAAGATATTACATTATTTTGTACCAGTCTTTGCAGGATTCTATCTATCCCTTTACAACTCCATGGTGTGTACAGTTTCATGGAAGATGCCTCTTATATTTATTTAAGTTATTCTCATCAGGTTCTTTTCATTCCATCACATAGTTCAATGCATGACCTTCCATGGTTGAATCGTACACAATACAACAATACCACGATTGGTGGGGATTCTGAACTGGGCACACGTAGACTATAATTCAGAACATCCAGGTGGATGGCATGGACCGACCACCTTTAGAAGGAATGCAATGAGGTGCATACGTTCTATGCAAGGCACTTCTGTGATGGATCTCAGACAAATAGCTGCCTAACTTTTGCAGTTCCCATCACACTGTGATGTGGAAGAGAAAGGAAAATGTCTCCCTTTCCAGTTTCTCCACACCATGCGATTGAGCATTGCTCAGTTAGCTGTCATAATGGCTTTGCTGACTTTCTTCCTTTTGCAATACTAATTGCAAGACTGAATGTATTTGTTTGAAGACAGAATCCAGTAATGAAGAAATTATGCAATTAACATGTCAAATTCAGGTCAATTAAATGAAAATGTGAACACTAGCCAATTTGCAGGTTTTATGAGAGCCCATCTCAACTAGGTATTAATCAATATTCTCTCACAACTGACATTTCTGAACGGTGCTTTTAGAAAGAGGGTTCCGGGCAGTAGCAATCAAAAGGCATCATGATGGCATTCCATCTTTTCTTTTCAACAGCTTTGTTTTGAGTTTTGTTATTTTTCCTAGGAAGAAAAAAAGACGGGAGAAGTAGCAGAACACACATAAGGGCTCCACCAGCACCCCTGCCATAAAAAAACCCCATAAATGAGGCAGCTCAGTGGTATAAGACAAGCCAAAGTGTACAGAAGCAAATGTACAGAAGCATTTGAAATCATTTATGCTTTGATCCAGCCAACACTGGAGTGTCAACTCCAGACACATGATGGGAAAAGGAACATGTAATTCTCTTCTTGAACTCAGTCACCAAGACTTTTTGGGAGAGGGGGAGAACAGCTTTCTAACCTGAGAGTCTATTTATTGCAAATGTTCCCAGACATTTTACTAAAGGGCACATCAATGGAATGCTCACATCCATCATCAGCATTTCTGTTTCACCTTCCAATAACTGTCCAGGGAATGAGACTTCCAAAGGGCAGCTATGAATGTCACATCAACATGCACAATTTGACAGTTTGCCCAAGTGATGCATACCTGGAGCTGTACAGCTACAGTAAACATACACAGAATAGAAATTTGCACCCATTTACCATGTTGAATGCATAACATGAGATTCTGCTCTTTGCAGACTGATACCATATGGTCTTCAGTTCACCTTCTCTAACCTAGTGAATTACAAACAGGACTTCCACAACTTCAAATGGAGATAGAATCACGTAAAACATTCTTTCTGGACATTGCCTTTAATAAATATATGTTCTGTTCATTAACTTTTAAAAATTAAATTTTGTTCATTAACTTCTTAAAATTCCTTCCATATAACGAATACTTTTCATACCACTAAAGTTAAATTTGGAGTTATCAACAAAATTTGCAGAAACAATAGATAATGAGTTGTTTCTGGATTTAGAACATTCCTGGAACAAATTAGCCAAGGTCTAGAGAACCTATAACACCTACATAATGAGCATACTCTAGGCGCCAATTTAGAAGATTTCACTGTTAAACCTTTTCTGTATATACTTATCCAGTTTAAGTAAAAAATTATATTGAATTGTCCAGCAGCAACTATCTTTCTAAACTTTGATTTTAAGTATTTAGATTTTAACATGGATCTTTAGAGATTTTCATACATACAATAAGATGGAATTCGTCAAACTTTTGAAATGGTTCCTGCAGTAGCTATCTCAAAAATTAAACTCAGTACTAAGATGGGTCTTAAAAGGGTTGTTCTAGTTTTGTATGATTTTAAAGGAAAGAGAAATAACTATCAAAACCAGAACTGAATTTCCAGATGCCATGAAACCCAAACTTTGGCGGTGTTCCATTTTGCAAACTTGGAAACTGTGGAAAAAACAGCTGAACAAATGACATTTCCAAGTCAAAGCTAAGTGAATCTTGCGCACAGCTTGGAATACAAATCATAAAATGATTCCAGTTTAGACCCTCTGCAACAATGAGCAAAAATGAAAAAAACCCACATATTTATTATTTGACAAGGGTCCTGATATAACACTTGCATTCTCAGGAACTTTTCTACAAGTTAACTGTTCTTCAGCTTTATAGAAATCTTATACATTAAGCTCCTTAAAAATGCATATACATATAAATAAGACATGTCTGAATGCATACCAGTGTGGTATAGTGGTTAAGAGCATGGGACTGGGACTCAGAGGATCTGGGTTCTAGTCCCCGCTCAGCCATGGAGCCAACTAGGTGACTTTGGGCCAGTCACAGACTCTCAGCCCAACCTACCTCACAGGGTTGTTGTTATGGGGATAAGATGGAGGAGGAGAATGATGCAAGCTGCCTTGAGCCCTTTGTAGGAAAAAGGCAGGATATAAATCGAAAAATAAATAAATACCAAATCCACTATGTGACTGCATTCACAGGACCAGAAAGGAAAAGAAGTAATGTCTTTCCCAATGTACATTACATCCCAATTTACAGCTTAACGAGCATTACCAAGTCATGCAAACCTACCATGGGTGGGCAGCAGGGCTGGCTTCCAAACCACCCAGAATCCTAGAACTAGCCATGGGAAGCCACCATGACTTTCTTGCTCTCCCCAGTCCCACTAACCTGGGGAGAAATCCCAAGGCCCTATTTTTATGTGCATATACAATTTTTCAGAAAGTCACTATGTCTACAGGAAGGCAGCCTAGGGAAGGGAGCAGATGCCTCTCCAAAAGCTGTTTGTGCTTAAAAATAGCTGTATGTACATGCATATTTATAATTTAATTACAATCATGCAAAACAGCAGGCATTTCCCAGCCCTCTTGCCATTCCAATCCAGCTAGCTGGGGAAATGTGTGCTGTGTTAAATCAATCCTTTACACCTCTCAGAGCTCATTCACCTGTTCTGGTTTCAAGTCTGGAATGGGCAACACACTTGCAAATTCTAAAGTGATTTCTGCATTCCATTTGCTACCAATACTCTTGTGAACTGGAATAGAGGTTCTAGATGTCAAACTGACACTGCCATCAATATCAAACATGCTGTCCAAGGTCCCATCCATTCTCTTCATACATCTTCATCCATTCTAGAGAGGTAATTGAATTTGTCCATTGCAGCAAAACCAAGAGAGACATGTGACATCTTTTTAAAAACCCTACATTTTTTGGCAAAAGTTTCTGTAATTGCTATCTACAAAAGCTTATACAAGGGGTGGGGGGGGAGACAGCATTATTCCTTCAGACCCTTTATTGCCTTCCCTCTTCACTCGGATCTGCCTCTTCACACTTGGATTATTTCCGTCTGGAAAACTAAGCATTTTCTACTGCGTCTGGTTAAGACAAGCTGCCTCAAGCATTCTCCAAACTCTACTAGCGCAGCCCAAGGAACGAGGGAAAGATTCACTGCGCTTTGCTCTGCATCCAAACAGAACGTCTTGCGCACTTCTCATGCCGAGCTGGGCAAGCCGCGAGATCCAAGAATGGAGAAGCCGGACCTTGTCCTCTGGCCAAAACCCGGCTGGCACTTCAGAGCGGCGGAAGGGAACTGCAGAGCCCTCCGTCCGGGCGCGCACCCTGGACCGCCAGAGCCCTCCGTCCGGGCGCCCTCCGTCGTCAGAGCCCTCCGTCCGGGCGCGCACCCTGGACCGCCAGAGCCGCGGCTGCACCGCGCCCGACGCATCGGCCAAGCGGAGCGCGCAGCTTCGGGAATCGGTCCCGCGCCGCCTGGAAGGACCTGCCTTGCCCCCTCTCGTCATTCGGCGCTCGGGCCCTATCTAAGAACTGCCCGCCTGTGCGCTCCGCAACTCTTTTTCACTCCCTCTCTCTTAAAAATTAGAGATCACAAACGGACGGACGGACGGACAGACAGACAACTGACCGGCACACACTTGGCGCACGAGGTCCCTCCCGCCCGGCACCTAAAGGCCAGCCACTTGGGTAGAAGTAGCCATCCCCAACCAGGCGCTCGCCAGGATCGCCGGACTACACCTCCCAGCAGATCTGATCGCTGGCCCTGCGAGCTGGAGCTGATGGGAGCTGGAGTCCAAAAGATCCAGAAGGCAGCCGGTGGGCTGCAGGAAAGCCGTCGAGAGAGTGTTCTGCTTCCCGTGTGCTGGTCCCGGAGCAGGCGGGGGAAGAGCGTCCAGGAGACTTTGCCACCCTAAGCCAAACTTGAGGAGGGGTCCCCTTCTTACCCGCTTCCCTGGCCGCCTTCTCGCCGGGCGGCGCGTGCTCCCCACGAGGTGGCCCCTCCGGAGGCGAAGAAGCCCTGGCGCGCGCCGCTGCCGCCTTGGCTGGGCAGCCGCGCCTGCCCGCCGCTCCCCGGGCCAGGACCGCGCGCCTCGCCCCGCCTCCGTCTTCCCCTCGGATTGGGGGAGGCCAAAAGGGGGCGGGGCATCTGGAGGCTCTGTGAC